TATGTGTCATGAAAATATTTATTTCTAAAATACAATTTAACATACTTTAAACTTATGACATTTTTTTGACAATTTTATTATTTCAAGGTCAGAAAAAGGAAATAATAATAATAAAAAAACAAACATTTTTTTAATTAATATTATTATTATTTTTGTTTTTTTGTTGTTTTTTTTACACAGTCTTCATATTTACAGGTGCCGGGGAAGCTGGGTGTCTTTTTTTTTTTTTTTTTTTTTTTTTGTCGTGGCTACTTTGGATGATCCTTGAGGTGCAAACAAATCCTCTCGGTGAAATTGCGCAGCGGGGCAGCAACGGTGTCCTGCTTCGAAAAGTCTCTTTGATGACCAAAAAAAAAAAAAAGAAAGAAAAAAAAGTCGGTGAGCCATCTCGCCGAGTTTTGTTTGTCCCCCACTGTTTCTGTTTTTTTTCTTCTTCTTCTTTTTGGTTCATTTTTATTAGTCTGTCCAGGCCTAGTAGTCCTGATGTGGGCTGTGCGTCAAACTGTGCCGTCGCAGGTCACAGTTGCGCCGAAACACCTTTCCGCAGCGGCCACAGCTGTAGGGCTTGATGTCTGTATGGGTGAGAAGGTGAGTTTTCAGGTTACTTCTTTGATTAAAGGTTCTTCCGCATGTGGGGCATTTGTGGGGGGACTCCTGTTTAGATTTAAAGCAAGCAAAGGATTATTCCCTTTAATTGTACAGCTCAGTTGTATTTTTCAGACATCCAAATACACTATATATATATAATTTGCAAGCTCTTAATGACAATTTTCTGGGTTAATTTTTACCACAGGCCAAAATGCAGTAGTTTATTTATTTATTTTTTTTTAATGACCAATCCACATCCCCCATGCATGCAAGTATACACAGAATCATGACGTCTGAGCATTTCAGGTCAGGGTCATGCGCAGTATTTGGAGCTCACCTGCATGTGTAGGGTTTTATGGACGGCTAGAGTGCGGGACTGACAGAATCCCTTCCCACATTCTTGACATTTGAAAGGTTTTTCCTTGGAGTGGATATATCTGTGGAAAAAACAAAAAACAAAAACAAAAGTGGCACATCATTAGGGTCCGGATGGATTTGCGTAAAAAAAAAAAAAAGCAAACAAACACACATTTAAAATGCAAGAAATAATAATAATACCTAAAAAAACAAAAACCCGAATAAATAAATAAATGCCAAAGCTTTATGGCACGCGTGTAGAAACTAAAAACAAAGTCAAGGCTGTAGACATATAATAGTGCAGAAGGATTTATGTGTTGAGAGAAACAAGGAGCTGAAAGCAGAGCGGATGTTGCTGCGTGCAGGTGGTTTTGCCGTCTCACCTGTGGTCTCTCAGGTGGTCCTGTCTCCTGAACGCCTTGTGACAAATATCACACGTGTAGGGACGCTCGTCCGTGTGGGTCCTCTCGTGGATGAGCAGGTTGTAGGACTTGGTGAAATGCCTGCCGCAGAACTTGCAAATAAACTCCTTTTTAGTCTTGGACGGAAGTCTGCCCCGGGTGGGCTTTCTGTCGGGGGACAGCTTGCTCAGCTCGGAGATGGTCCCCCCGAGTCCCGACGTCAGTTTCGCCAGGTCCGCGGCCTTTGGCGGGTCCTCCTGAGTGGCGGCGAGGGCCAAGTTGGCAAAGTCGAACCTGGGTCTGTCCTTGTGATGAGGGGGGACGCCGTGCGTGACGGCGGTCTGTTTCGGATGGAAGAGCTGCGCGGCCGCCGTGAAGGGCAACGCCGGGAAGGGGATCCTGGGGTCCACCAGACCCTGGGCGGCCGCCGTGATCGTCGACCTCAATCCTTGCATGTGCGGGTAGCCAAGAGTCCAGTGGTTCATGTGCATGGTCTGCACCGCACTCAGCCCGTACAGTCCCTGCAGCTGGTCAGCGGGGAAAGTGTTGACGGCCTGCAGGAAGGAATAGTTGGTGAGCTGGAGGGCTGGGTGCAGCGGGATCGGAGCGTGCAGGGCTTTGCTCCCCATGTCGACTCAGACCTCTGCGGAGGAAGCTGGAAACCCTGCGGGAGACCCCAAACAAAAAAAAAAAAAAAAAGTTAAGCAATGAAAGTTGTGAGTTAACGCCAAGCTGCTCAAGGTGAGTAATTATGTGACTGTCATAATACAGAAACATGGCTATTTCATGGCTTTTCAAATAACTAAACATGACGACAAAACACTGATGTAATAATTTACAATGAAAAAAAAATCCAATAACATCTGAAGCCAAAATGAAATTCGAATCAGTGTCTATTTTGTATTTAGCCAGATAAACATAATGAACAACCTGATTATTATTATTATTATTGTTGTTGTTGTTGTTTTTTAACCCTAACCAGATCCACGCCGACACATTTAACGTTTTAACGCGACGAGCGCGCCGCCTCTCTGAGTCACTGCGTCAAAGAAAAATCCCTCATCCAAACTGTGATCGGCCAACATCAAGAAGGTGAAAGACGCGTCGCTCATCTGGCTTCAGTTATCGCAGCAAAACAGGGATTTCAGATCACACCGAGTGACGCACTGCGTGTCAGGAGGCGTAATTGATGAGACTGCTCTAAGAGCCTCTCCACTCGCAAACAAGTGTTCTCCGTGTAAATTCGTGGAAGAGGGATTTTTTTTTCTTTTCTTGCTGAGCTTCACTGATTCGAAAAGAAAGCAGAGTATGGATTTCAAAAATCATAATCATAATGATACTAAACGGCTCTGACGCCTTGCATGGAGCCGACAGGTTTCACCTGAAAGACAATATTATGTATTTTTACTTATTAAATTTAGTCCATGTTATATATGGCGTGTCCTCCCCCACCATCATACCCCTGCCTTGGCAAAACTCCTGGCATTTACGGGCCAACATTTCACAGAACCATATCTGCCAGTGATAAAAAGCGACCGGCCTCCGAGTGACAGACGAGGTGAGCTGAGCAGGACTGGCCTCTTTTCTTTTTCAGTTTTTTTGTTTTTGTTTTGTTTTTGTTTTATTGTTTTTTTTTTTTTTTTTTTGCGAGAAGTTATGTTTTACACACACACACACACACACACACACACACACACACACACACACACACACACACACACACACACACACACACACACACACACACACACACAATTATAATAATAATACTAATAATAGAAATAATAATAATTTTTAAAAACTGTCCTTGAAGTTGTAAGAGTTCCAGATGATGAAAGCGGAACTGGAAATGATCCAGCAGTTATCAGATGTTCAGGCAAGAATGAAAGCTGAAAGTATTTATTATTATGATGATTATTATTATTATTTAGACTGACTACATAACATGAAATAGTACGACAGCTGGAAAATAGACATACACACACAAATCTATAAATCTGGGCGCTTCTTACGCGGTTGATATCAGGTCTCTGCAGACCTGGAGAGGACAGACATGCGGCTCTCGGACAGGCTGCACATGCTCTTGTGTTTTTGCTGCAGATATGATTGAATCCCCTGGACTCTGCTTTCCCCGTCACACGCGGAATGGGGTTAAATATCATTTTTGCACAGGTGCAGCATAAATCACCGTGCAGACACTTGCTGTTCTTTGCTCAGTGGAGCAGCTTTCATTCAACTCGTTCTCGCCTCACCTTTGGACTTCTTTTATTTTGCACCCCCCTCCCCCCCATTTTCTCCTCCCAGTTTAGCAGCAGCCCGAGTGTCTCGTTTAAAATCTTTAATATCTCGCTTGAACGTATTTCTAAAGTCGAGGGCCACAGTCAGAGGTCCTGCACGGACAAGAGGTCAGTGATGTCACAACGTGAGGGAGATACGTCCTCATGTCGCTTGTCACCAGACGCAGATGTCTGGTCTTGTACTTCATCAGCCTGGTTTCATTTTATTTTTAATTTTTTGGGGGAAAAAGCACACGTTTTGGTTTGGTCCGTTTTGCGTCAGGACGCAGTGAAACAGCAAAAAAAAAAAAAAAAAAAAAAGAAAGAAGAAGGGGGAGGAGGGCTGAAAAAAAGTAGTTTCTTTTCTAATTAGGAGTTTTTTTTTTTAAGTGATCAAAGAAGTGGGCTGCGTGAGGCTGGCTCCTCTCCCAGCGGAGGACTGACATGCACCCTGCCAAACACAATCTTACCCCAATAAGTAGCTGCCAAGGGTCCTGCGGTATGTCAGTAATCCACAGTAACTACACAGGCGACGAGCTCCAATAAAACGCTTCCAACATCCAAGTCCATGAAACTTTCATGTAGCCATGCAGCCAAAAGCTCTGATGTCTCGGACCTTTGGTGGGATGTGACAAGTTGTGAAAAGTTGTGGAAAGAGGCGAAGAGAGTTTTTCTGGAGGAGAGACAGCGGCGGCGGCGGCGGCGGCAGCAGCAGCGTGGGAGTCCCGTCCGAAGCTGGGGCTGGAAGTGTGCGGTTCTTCACTTTTTAGGGCTACGGGACTCTGGAGCGCTCAGCCCGCCCTCTGACACGCCTCCCCCCCCCCGTCTGTCTCCCACCACCCTCCACCCCCACCTCCTCTATCATTAACTCCAATGTTCCCCTCTGTTTATTTGTGTTTGGATAGCAACTGAGGCTCCAGACCGTGGTGGAGAAGCGTGTTCCGTTCAACCTGCCGTTCTTTGACACCTCTCTCTCTCTCTCTCTCTCTCTCTCCCTCTCGCGCACCGCGGCGCGGCGCGGCGCGGCGCGGCCAAGGCTGAGGCTGATGCCTCCTTCCTGCTGGAGACGCTGCTTGGAAGGCGCATGGGGGAAACCCTGAGCGGCGTTTTCCCCCTTCCAACTCAACGCTTTCGAAAACGTGCTTTTTTGGAATCTTAAGCAGCTTACAAGATGTTTTTTTTTTTTCAAACCATAGAGCTCATTTGCCAAATGGAGGGGTATATCCAAGATCCGCCTCATTAAATCGTTTTATTTCATTGTGGTCGGGGTGAAAAAAAATGAAGAAGTAGATTCTGAGGTTTGGATTTGAAAAGTAAAATAAAAATAATAAAAGAAACCCTCTACCACTTGATGCTTATATTCTCTGGATTTTTCCTTTTTGTCATTTTTGAGCATAACTTAATTTCTTTTTTCTTTTCTTTTCTTTGTTAACTTGCATGATCTAACATGTTTATCTGGCATAGCATTATGATGTGAATTACAGTTTGAGTGAACAGAGCAAGGTAAAGGACAGCCAATAAACACTGAGCGAATTGTGTTGTGACATCATCATAAATGGAAAATCTAAAAATTGTTCAAGGTCAGTCTTTAAAATTGTTTAAATTCTATGTTAGAATTCGAACGCAAAGTTTAATCGTCAGTAATTTCTAACAGCGTTAACTTCCTGTTAGTTCCTATATATTTTGTTTTCTCTCCAGATTGAACAGAGCACTTTGGTTCAGTCAATAGGACTGTCCAGCAAAAAATAAATAAATAAAGGCTCATGTGTATATTGTATTCTATGTCATATAAATATATCAACCAAGCAAAAAAAGAAAAACAAGTGCAGTTTTAAGAAGACCAGTGGTTGGGTTCAATTGAAGTTTGTATCCAGATTTAACAGCGTTTAAAGTCAAGCTTATCAAATCTGAAGCAGTCGCTCTAAAAGAAGAGAAAATGGTTGACAATACGTCATCATTGTCTTGTGCACATAACCTGAAACTTCTCTTTGTTTATCTCTCTTTAAAAAAAATAAATAAATAGAAGTAAAATCCAGAGGAATGAGTTGGCTCATTCATTCCAACTACACTTAAATATACCTACTTATATTTAGGTATTCTTTTAGCTTTTAAACATATGATTTCTTCTTAGAAATATTTCATAAAATGAACTCAAAGAAGGTATAAGCAACATTTAAATTGGCTCAATTCCAACATTTGGTTTTTCTGTGACGCATTAATAACAACAACAATAACAACAACAAACAACAACAACAACAACAACAATAATAATAATAATAATAATAATAATAATAATAATAATAATAATAATTATGATAAATTCATTTCCAAATGGTTTATTTATGGATATTTTTTCTCTTCTGGTTAGTATGAAAACCTTCACGTGGCGTTTTGACGGTCATTTATTTGGTTGAGCTTTTGCTCAATATAAAAGCTTGGCGCTACATAAATATGCTTCCTCTGATGTACTTTTAAACCAACCATTTTAAAAACAATATTCATCAGACAAGATGAAAGTAGTTAGGTTTTATGTTTTTTTTTTTTTTGTCATTTTAGTGACGGTCCATCCTCTCCGGCCTCATCCTTCCGCATTCCCGAACGTTTGCAAACTTTCGGCCTGGAGGTTGTTGTTTTTTTTTTTTCTGCTCGTGAACGTTAAAGGCTGCGCGTGTCGGATCAGCAGGTCAACAGCGGCGCCTAGTGGCCACGGACGGAATCAAACTCCACTGCGCCTCCGTTCACCGAATCCTCCGTTTTCGGACTGGAAAACAAGCCTCTTCTTTCAATCGACATTAAAGTTCGTTTGAATGATCGATTACTCACGTAAGTCAAGCATCTTAGGTGATGACATCATATCCAGAGCACTGGATACAAACACATGAAGATGGGATTCATGTAGAGGCGGTTTGATGAGGCCACTCTGATCAGAGCAGATTTCAGTCCACAACGATGAGAAACAAGTATAATAATAATAATAATATAATAATAATAATAATAATAATAATAATAATAATAATAATAATAATAATAATAATAATAATAACAGCACTACTACTAATGATAATAATTGGGGTTTTAATCTGCACTCGAGGCCGGGTGCGTCACCCCAATGCTAGTTTCCCTACAGCTGCAGAACGTCGCCTGCGCACAGCATGCTTGTGGTTTCTGGTTCGGTTTCGTATCACCCCGGCCTCGAGCTTCACTGTCAAAACACCGAACGACTAGAGACAGATTAGAGCGCACATAAAAGGCCCAACGCGACATATCCTATTCACTTCAGAAAAGCAGAACAATTTAAATGTTTGTTTTTGCGTGCTGGGGGAGTTAAAACCAAAAAAATAAAAAGAAAAAAGAAAAGAAGAAGAAAAAAAAGAGAGAGGCTGTAATTGTTTAAAGATCTCAGAGAGGTTGGTAAAGGAGATCCACCTACTGATAATTAGGTTCCGTTAATCAGTGCTGAGCTCAATGAAGAAAAACAACAAAAAAACACCTCTCACCAGATATGCAAAATATTTTCTGCACAACTCTCTGACTTCCTGTTGCAGCTAAGATTTCCCTCCTTGAGTGAAAAGTTAAACTTCAGTGCAAACAAACTCCACCGCTGTTGGAGTCCAGAGTATTACAGTGATAAGTGCTTCTTTGTGTTTTGCCTTTGTTTCTTTGCTGAGACAAACAATTTTGTAACTTAAGACTTCTAACTGTAGGACTTCCTGTGCTCAACAACATCTGATGACACAGTTATTAAGGTATGCAGCGGATTGGGGAAGGTCCAGAGAATTTGATCACACTTGGAGCGTCTTAATGCTCCAGTTTTACGTTATACCTCAGTATGAAATGTGCACCGTTGTATCCCTTCCACTTTGGGTAACGTCAGAGCTGGAGAGTTAACGTTTTGCCCTTTGGCCCCCAGCCTGAGTCCCTTGCAGCCGCCATCGTTCTCTATGATAATATGACTCCCACGGAGGATCAGGGCTGCAGCTCGGTGCAGCTGCCAAGCCCCGTAATGGCCTACACTCCTGTTTAAATAAACCTAAGTGACAGAGGAGAAGTCCAACAGGAGTCAGTCAGACACATTGAAGAGGTGTGATGAGGCTCAGACGAAGAAGTGGACTGAATTGGAACAGGCTTTCAGTTTCTGGCTTTTTTTTAATACAACCGTTTAAAAATATGTAATTCCTTTTAATGTTGAAAAAAAAAAAAAAAATCAAATAGAAAGTAGACTCTGCTGTAGTTGACCTCTGCCTGTCATGGCCATATTAGACATTTGTTGTTCTCCTTGATAACAAAATTATAATTTTGACTAATTTTGACCTCATATGTGTCCAGCTGCTGAACAGCGTCACCTAAGTTTTCAAACCCTCCTTACCTGGGGCCAGCCGTGGATCCCTCGCTGGAACAGCCGGAGCCGACGGCCTTCTCCTGAGTCTCTCTCCTTCTCTGGGCTCTTTCTGCCTCTCTGTGTTGTTTTCTCTCTGTCTGTGTGTGTGTGTGTGTGTGTGTTCTTGCAGACAGGATGTCAGGTCCATAGTGTACGAGCAGGGGGAGGCAAACCTGTCACTGTTGCCTACCTGCTGTGGTTTGAAAGCCCCACTTCCCCACCTACACTCTCACTCATCCTCTCCCACAGCAGCAGCAGCAGCAGCAGCAGCAGCTCTGAGGATGGCTGTTTTTCATTCAAAGACCCCCGAGTCACATTTTCCTCCACATCACACTTCTTTTACTTGAAATTGAGCATTTTAGAATAAGTGTGTGTGTGTGGGGGGGGGGGTTATGACTCTATTATCATATAGGTGGTTGTTTTTGTTTTTTTGAGAGAGTGAAACAGAATTAAGCCGTCATACATCTGGAAATAGTTTCTGCTTTAAACGCACGTAACATGTGTCCCATTCTTATCATTTATAGTAACTAGTTATATGATTATCATTCCCTTCATTGAAAGCGGTATATCTGTTTTGATTCTCCTTTGATGACTAATGTGTGCTATTGTATTGTATATTTAGGCCATTTTACTTTTTTGTACCTTTTAAATATTTTTTTAGAATATTCATCAAACCATAAGTAATAAACACTTGGCAGTGAATCCATGTGGCTGTGCTGGGCCTTTTAGACTTGTTCTATTAATCTTTTGGTTTAGACAGAAGAATATGTTGTCAACAAAACCTTGAATTCATATAACATCAACATTTCTTTCTTCATCTTTTATATATTTGATTAGCCTAGAAAAAAAAAGCTTTCATTAAGTTTTAGATCCAGTTCATTCGGTGGGTTTGTGTGAGTTGTGACCGTGACACGTGTCGCCGCCCCGCTGTTCACCCACAGTTTCAGGGTTGCCTCTGAAAAGATAAACTTTGAACAAGACAGCCCCTTTCCTGCAAAGCAAAGCCCTGTACAACACTGCCTCCTGTTGGACCACCGTGCCGAAGCCTCTTCTGCTCTCCGTCAGAAGCTGAGTGAAGTCATTACTGGAACATTTGTCAATTTCAGAACTCAAACAGAGATTAAAACACCTTCACGTTGGACACGTCTGCTTTTTGCCTGCTCTGTTCCCAGCTTTCCATTTTCATTTCTGGTGCAATACTCAGAATTTTGCTCGTCACGCCCCCCCCCCCCCCCCCCCACCACACACACACACACACACACAAGCATTTTATTTGATGAAAAACTAAACCAGACCTATAAAACGAGCCTGTGAACAGGTAAAGTGCACTTTATAACGGACACACCGCATTCCT